AAATATATTTAGATTTTTATGACTTTATGATTTTTTGTTATTTTTTATATTTTTATGAAAATAAATTAGTTTAAAGAATTAAAGAGAAATTAATTAAAACAAATAAAATAGAAAAATATAAAAAGGAATAAAAGAAGCAAACCATGGGGGGTTCTGTCCCCAATTGGAGGTTAAATTCAGCATTTTTGGCCCAATAGCCCTTGGCCTTGTTGACTTTCATGGAAGCGTGTGCACATGTTGACTGATGCCTAGGATGTTCTTCAAATCTCCACCTTTAGATTGCCTCCAGTGGCCATGTGGCACACCTGGATTAGGGGCGTATGATGGTCTTCAGGGAAGAAACTGCACAGGATGATGTTAGGAAAAATATTATTGAAAGGGAGGGGGACCTGGGGTTCGAACCCAGGTCCTAGAGATTACCAATGCTACGCTTGACCAGTGGAGCTATGAACGCGCTTTGAATATATAATAACAAATAAAGATCATAAGATAAAACAAGCGTTAGTGGCAGATTTTAGCGCGAAATTCAAACGAGCCAACCATGCCTTGCCACCTAGTCTTCTTCTTCCTCGTTTGCCTTTTACCTGAAACATAAAAAGAATTAGCGGGGGTTTAAAACCCCCCCAAAATATGCCCTTTTCAAGAATAGCGATTAGGCCATCTTGCTTCATAAATTGGGCGCGACTGTTGCATTCGATTCGTCCAAGTGTCCTGAATTTAACCATGGTACTGAGGAGTCTTAATTTTATAGTATATGAAAATACCCAATTCGAAGCTTGAGGAACCCTAGCATGTTTCAATGGTGAAATCGCGTATGACGCTTAAAAACTCAATTAAAACATGTGGTTAGCTTTAGAATCAATCAATTAGTGTAAATCAGTAAAGAAAACACATGAAAAATGTATGTAATTCATGATACGATTATGAATATTTTTCTGAAAAGTGGGACATGCTTCTACCGTTTCTTGGTGTTAGAGCTTATGATTTTGATTCAGGAAGTTCCCTTGATATCTCAGGAAGGTGATAGAATGGTTTTCTTGCCTTGAAAAGCCTTGCAATCGTGATTTCAGTTTTGGAATTTCTTGATAAAATTGCAAAGTTGTTTATGGTCTTTCTGCGCAGCTTTTAGGTCATGAGCACTAGGGTTTGCATGAGTATAAGTATTGGAATGATTAGGGTTGAGAATTTGGTCCAAAGAATCCTTGCATTGATGGAATGATATTTGATTTTCCATGCATATATTTTCCAATCTTTTCATGCATATTTGCTACCAATTATGTCCTAATTACATTGATTCTTTCTATATCTGATCATGCACGAATCTTGAGTGTATTTCATGCATAAAAAGATTTAAAAAACTTGCCTTGGTATTTTTCACATATTTTAATTAATTAAATGAATTATTAGCAATTAAAAATTCAAATAAATAAAATAAAAATGATGAATAACTTCCCTTTGGGCCAAATGGTCGTGCACATGCTTTGGATGATGAATCTTGGAAGAAAATGTGGCCCATTAGCAATTTTAAGACATTTGAAGCAAAGTTGACTTTTCAAAATATCCAAAAATTTCCCAACTTCCACAAGGCATATCTTGCTCAATTTTTAAGCTTTGCTCATGTTCTTGGACATTTTGGAATGGTCTTGAAGTCCCCTAACCAATGCCTTTGGTCCCATGTCATTTTGATTTACCAATCGCAAGTTATGGCCTTTGACTTAAAGTCCCTTTTTGTTGACTTTTGAAAATGACCTATAATGTTGAAATTGATAACTTTTTGTGAGAGAATTTCTTGGTCTTGAAGTGGGAAGAGGAGTTGTAGGAAATGTATTTCTCTTCAAAATGAGCTTTGGATGGAATTTTTCTGATAATCCATGTGAAAGTTATGCCTTGGTCAAGTTACAGTTGACTTTTTCAACTGTCCAAATATGGAAACTTTTGCATCTTGAGACTTTTTGAGCCAAGCTTTGAGAATCATGATCAAGCATTGATCAAATGATGTTTGTGGCTTCAAAATGAGATGTTGACCAAAAATTTGAACTTTTGACTGTCAAATGACCATTTTGTCCCTACAGTTGACTGTAGTGCAATTAGGGTTTTTGACTGTGCAATTTTGTGCTGTAAGTCTTGAAATTTGGTATGAGGATGCTTGACCATGTTTGTAGGCATATGGGACTTGATTGGACCCTTGGAAACTTCCTTTACTTTGCCAGAACCAAAACCCTAGTTTTTGACTGTTAGGAGGCTCTTGAACTGTGCAACCCTTGGGGAGATTTTGAAGCTTTGACTTGGCAAATTTTGAAGAATATGGGAGGGCAAATTTTGGGGTACAACAGTGGCTTCAGAGCAGAAATCCGCAGACGCGCATAGAAGATTTTGTCTCCCTTTGTTATTTCTTGCAGCAAGTTAATGTTTTGGTTTGAATATTTTTCAACATCTGAATTGTATTCCCATTTTGAAGACCATTATTATTTCAGTAAAATTTTTATTTCCATATCCCATTTGTGTATTTATTTTTAAGACGCTCGCCAATAAAAAAAGGCAAAACCTAAAGAATATAGATGTAAAATATATATATATATATATATATATATATATATATATATATATATATATATATATATATATATATATATATATATATATATATATATATATATATGTGTGTGTGTGTGTGTGTGTGTGTGTGTGTGTGTGTGTGTGTGTATGTGTGTGTGTGTGTGTGTGTGTGTGTGTGTGTGTGTGTGTGTGTGTATGTGGTGTGTGTATGTGTGTGTGTGTGTGTGTGTGTGTGTGTGTGTGGGGAAAATCCAAGTGACTAAGACATTAAAAACAAAACTTTAACATATTTACATGCATCCATGCATTCGCAAACTTCGCATCATTTCACATTTCATGGCAAAAACTCATTAATTTTCAAAATCATCTCCAGTTAAATGATTGGTATAAAAGCACCACCTCTTCGACTGTCATATCAAATAAAGGTCCATCAAAAGAAAGAGATGGAACATATCGAAGAGAATAAAGCTGTATTCGGGGAAGATTTGGAGCAGGTAAAAGGCAACATCGACTCAATGAAGGGAGATATGAGCCAAGCTCTTCTAGCTTTGAAGAACATCATCGAAAGACAAGAACAGATTCCCAGGGTAGCCTTTGACAAGATATAAATATAAGGGCATTCCACTTAAAATTACTTATTACACCTCCCAATTATTTGTAAGGTATTCAACCATTCTCATTTTTTCCTTTTTTACTTTCACATATAATTATCAATGTGCATTATGTCTGTCTGTATGTTTTTTTTACACTGACATATAAATTATTAACATTGTTTATTTTGTGTAATTCAAATTGTTGATTAAATTAATATGTATTTTAATTTTTCTTTTGTTATTTGTACTTTCATACAAACTAGTAAAGGACCCGTGCGTTGGACCCGTCGTGCAATATCGTTTTTATATGTTAAGTTGTTAGATTTTTTGTTTTTTAAGTTTTTATGTGGAAATTAAGAACAAAAATATTTCATTTTATATTTGTTTTATAGAACTTGGGATATGTGGTCGTATTTTACTGTTGTAATCAGTTGACCTATCTTATGCCTTGTTGCAATATAAGAAAAATGGACTTTGGGATACTTAAATATAGATAATTAAATATTTTTGAAATTATTTTCTTCTTTATTTAAGTATTTTTTTTACCCGTACTTGGGTATTGATTAGGGATGGCAATGGGTTGTGTACTACAATATTCGTCCCCATACACGCGCTTTGAAAAAATCCTCGTACCCAAGTCCAAACCCGCGTGGACACCAATGTTAATACTTGTACCCATACTCTATGGGTATCTCAATACCCATACTCGCACCCGTTTACCCACATTTGTAGTAAAATTCAATCAATTAATTATAAATTATTATATAATTTTAAGTTTTCTTAACAACATTAAAAAAAATTATGGATGTTATTGTTGAGTTAAAAAATAAATAAACACTTTTATTAATATGTGTAATAGTTTAATAGTGATATATTTTTTAAAAATTGATATATGTGCATTTGTATATAATAATACAAATGATATTATATAAATATGAAGTGTGGGTATGGAGCGGGGTGGGTACTAAGGTACCCGTGCCCGCACTTATAACCGTTTATTTTAATGTGTAATTACTCATGCCCGTATCCAGTGGCGGAGCCAGAAAAATTATGAAGCCTGGCAAGTTTTCATTGACTTCATAATTTTCTACCAAGACAGTACAATGCTAATCCCAAAGGAATTATTTCCTTGAATTGCAATTGCCTCTTCAATTTGTAAGATTTCGGATTTTATAATATATACATGTTAAGATTTCAGATTCTATAATATATACATGTTACAGTATTTCAGGTGTGCTCACAAAATGAACAAACCTATAAAAGCCGAGAAAATTAGTTCAACACGCTCATTTGTGTGAAATTAAGTACTGCCTAAAAACACCGCTATCAATTCAAATTCCAAATAATGTTGTCAAATGCAGATCGGCGAAATGGTGGTTTGTTAAAATTCCGGTATGCTACAATGTTGTAGAGCCACTATTTGAGAACACATTGTAGTAAGTAGCATAACAAAAAACAATAGGGATGTGATCAAATTCCGCTACACTATAGTACAATAGCTATAACTGCTATTTAACAACAATGATTCCAAGATATCCCAATCTAAGTTATCAACAAATAAAAAATTATGATAACAAGCCATACCTTTCAATAGTTCTTCTGGAAAACCATGTGGCATCGCTTTCGTGCTCAGGCAGTATCTGGGACTGTTGCCACAAGCAGAAAATAAAAACTGGCACTTTCTCCAGTGAGTATTAAATTGTTCAAAGTAATTATCAGTGTGGTTTTCCAGTCCAGAACTTGAACATGATTTAGGAACATAATATGGCCAATCTTGCAACTTTGCAAAGTGAGAATTGACAGAATGAATTTGACTTGTATTCATTTTTTCTATGATAATATTTACATATCTCATCCGAATTGATTTACATCCATGGTTCTGTCAATAGCTTTCTGAGCTTCGCCCCTTATGGATATAAGGTTCTTTTATATCTCTTTACAAAGTCTACCCTCTATGAGCCCAACGGGCAACCACATCTTCGGCTTAACATCAACAATGTACGAAAGTGTTGTGCTAATCTCTCGTACTGGAGACTCGTCACTTCCACTGCTGAACAACTACAAAACCATCATTATCTAGGAAGTTAGCACTGGATTTGTGCCAACCTAGTTGAATACATGGTTTCAAAATCTCACAAACTTATGATCTTTCGAAACAAAGTCATTGATCATTTTTAGTATATATGATTTTTATGTCGGATCCAGAAGAATTCAAACAAGAAAGGAAGGAAAAAAAATCGTACCTGTGAAATAGACCATTTTCCTTCAAAGAGTTGAAAATCCCCTTCAATCATCTTGAAGTCTATGTCACGCTTGATACCGGATGGAAGAGTCTCCAATTCTTTCTCGTAACAATCTATAACACCTTTGGCATCAAATTTTAGCCCAAATGCCAAGTTCTGCTCTCCAATCTGTTGAGATGAAAATGGGTCAGCAAAAAAACCAAATTGATGAACAAGAAAAAACATAGAAAGAATAAAAGTTTTAAGTGAAGGGGAAAATAAAAGCATGGTGTGAAGAAATAACCTGCAAAAGTCGAGCAAAAGAGGGAGCTTTTTGTATCAATTTACTAAGATAAAGGCCAGGAATAAAATTCGGCAGCCTCTCATAATCAGTCAAAATATCCCAAACGGAGTCAAGTGTAGCGTCGATTGAAATCCTAGACTCGATTCTGCGTGAATTCTTCTCAAGCTTGGTCACCTCTATGAAAACCCCATCCTCAACCAACGAGTCTGGTTCTTGAATTTCGTTATCCTCTGTGGCCAACAAATTCCCAGAATCGTCGTCGTCATCGTCGACTATGAAAGTGATTCGAGGCAGCCGGGCCTGAGCAGCTGCCCTAGCTGGCCTGACGCTGGCTCCGCTAGTGCCCGTATCCGTACCTATTTTGCGGGATTTTATCCTACTTGTTGTGAGTATTTTTTTGTGGATACTCATTGGGACGTTAAAAAATGCTTTAATGAACATTTTCTCATTTTTAATTCCTAAGAATTACTTTAACAATATACATAATACATAAATATGCAAGATTTTTCTATTTTAAACATTCAAAAATTAAATATTAATAATCATAATACTAATATGTTATTATTATTAAATAATAATAAATTTTTATTATTAACATTTATTATTATTTTATTCCCCATATTGATATTAGTAATGTATTATTATGGTCAACTATTTAACTCATATGAATTTGTTAAGATTTCTAACGAGACCAAACATATGATGCAACATAGCTTTTATGCGGCATATATTTTATTGGTCATTTTAAAAAAAATAACAAACTTGTGTATTCATAAAAAAAAATAAAAATTGTGTATTCCCTAATCATAATTGTCTCATGTTATTTTTATAAAAATAAATATTCGTATCATTATTTAGTATAAATGTTCACTTTTTATCATTAAAAAAGATAATATTTTTCAAGTCACTTTTTTTTAAAAATATATTTGTTATTTATAAGAAATTAAATTTAAAATTAAAATATTTGTTATTTGATTTTATTAATTTATTCTTTTCAATTTTTAATTTAAAATATATATTTATCTCATTTCAATTTTTATGCAACTTCACGTGGTATTGCTCAACTAACCTTCATGTTTCTATAAAGTATATGATATTTTAAAAAATATATATAAAATGAATAATACTTAATTGGTTGAATAATATTTATTGATATAATAATAATAATAATAATATTAATAATAAAAAAATCATAAAAAGTAATAATAATAATAATAATAATAATAATAATAATAATAATAATAATAATAATAATAATAATAATAATAATAATAATAATATGTATTGAGATCTTCATAGAAAATAAATGATATATTAATCAATAACTGTAAAATCAATAATAATCAGATAATTTTAAATATATTAAATAATCATAAAATCAATCATATAAATTTTAACATTTTAAAAATAAAATAGATAATCACTGATTAAAATAAAATAATATTATTGTGTTGAAAGTGGCCGGTGAGATTGAACATTTACAACAAAAAAAAATAGAATTGTCAACTGTTTCTTCACATGTAAAAACCAATTATTTGATATAAAAAGTATATAAAAGATATTTATTTACGGAAAGTTAGGATAAATGATATATAAAGGATATTTATTCTAATGTGTTGTATTTGAAAAGGTAATAATATATTAAAATATTTATTTTCAAAGACTTTTTATTTTTTATTTATTTCTAACCCAATCCCAAAAACGTTTAAATAATATCAAAATAAAAATAAAAATAAACTCTATTATTTATTATTTATTGTTTATTATAAATAATTATTAACAATCCAAAATTAATTTTTAACTAATTTATTGAATCAATTTTTGTAGGACCAAAATTATGTTGTCAAATTTGTTTTGTTACGTGTTTTTTTAATCAAAAAGAAATATTTATAATATTTTTTGTATAATTTATTTATTATTGCTATCCAATTTCTTATGGTCATCCAATTTATATTTTCATGAAAGAGAGAAAGGAAATGAAAGAGTGAGAGAAGGTTCTTTTTTTAATTTTCTAATTAATTGATGAAATAATTAATGTGGATTATTGGAATAGGTAAAGTTGATAGTAATAATGTTAGTAGCCTTGAAAAATAATGAGAAATTAGGGATTATTGGATTTGGGTATTGATTTTGTATGTTTGTTTGTTGGTATTTGATTGTGTTACTGCGTCTTTGAAAAACTGAATTAAGTGAGAGTGGGATGAGAGATCAATGGTTTTGTTTTTTTGTGTTGGTTCTCTTTGCAAAAATGATGTTGAGAGAAAGGAAATGAAAGAGTGAGAGAAGGTTATTTTTCTAATTTTCTTTTCATCGTGTCTTTTATCTTCTAAAATTAATTGATAGAATAATTAATGTGGATGGTAAAAAGAAACAAAAGATTCCAAGTGTGTGAATTAATTTTAATTAAAAAATTAAATGATGTGATAATGACTTATTTAACCCTCATTTTAGGAATGCAATTAGTTTTGAATTGGTTATATTTGTAAAAATGGCAGTAATCATTTTTAGATATTAAAATAGAATTCGGATCTACAACATTAAACATTGAGTGTTTTATTTATTAACAAAGATTATAAAATAAAACATATAATTACATAAAAAGTAATTAGTTTACTAAAGAAAATTAAAATTGATAATAATTGATTAGATTTAATGAATTGAATCATAAATATAACTTAACAAAATATATAATATGCTCATAAAAGTATAGTAACCAAGCTATGAGTATCATATAACAGGGGGCTTCACTTAACCTATGAATATCATGTAGCAGAGGGTTTCAATTAACCTATGAGTAATACGTAACTGTCCATCAGGTCGATGCATCATTAGAACTATCTTCACCATCATCACCAATTGTGATTTGACACTACATTTCTTACTTAACCTAAAGTACAAAAAAACCTATAATATAAAAAAGAGCACCCGCTACAATATAGTCATGGTTGCAGTTGGCATGAATAATATCTTCCTATAACAACAAAAATAGAAAAACTTGATGAAAGCATGTAGAAACAGAAGTCATATTTTCTCATCAAATGGTAAATCTTTTATGAAAATTATTCATGTAAACAAAAGAATGAACTATCTACTTTAAAACCAAAAACAACATGGAAAAGAACCAAAAAATCACATCAATTATGTTACTATCACTCCCCCATTAACCTAAGAATGATATCTCTTACCAAAACAATAAGTGTTTACAATATGAATCACATCAACATGAAAATCATATTAAACACTTAATTTCAAAACAAAAATGATATCAAAATTCAAAATTGAGCCTCGTACACGCACACACATAACACATATTGACATTCTTCTCAAGAATATTGATGTTAATGCTTTGATGATATATGCATTCATAGTAAAATAAAAAAAAATCTAAATTTCAAAATATTTGCATCCCAAAAGAAAAAAAAACATAACTATGTTTGAATGTAACATGCCAAGCAGTTGATAAGCATAAAATATTCCTTGTACACAAACTTGATACAAATAAATATAACATTTTTTTTGTCAAAAATCCACAAATTATTGATACAACTATATCATGTAGAAATCTAATGAACCGTTAAACGTATATGCATGATATTAAGTAATTTAATATCAAAATCTTAAAGCTACAAAAAATACTATTCAATTGAACAATTCCTATTATACCAATGAACAACATCCTTCTGATTTTTGGTTTGAGAATCTGATGAACCACCATGAAATTTGGAGTTTTGGTCTAGAGAATATGCATATTGAGATATAGTATAATCGAGTGTCTTAGTTTCCCCTGCATTATCACATAATATGAATATGCCAATCAAAGATTTCTCTTCTTGCTACCAAAGTTCTTGTTCCACCAACTTCACAGTGCATCTGTAACACGGTGGGAGAACTAACTTGGTTTTGCATTTGATAGCAAATGTTGCGGATAGAAAGAGTTGCCACCGGCTTTTCTTTTATCCAATAAGGAAATGGTGAAAAGAACAAGAAAGACCTTGAGATTATTGAGTTCGGGGGTAAGTTATGAAAAAGGAAGGTGTTAGTCCTCCCTAGTTATCTACGGCTCTTAATCGCTAGCTCACTTTTGAAAATGCTTTGTGAATGTGTGTTTGAAAATATTTTGAAAATGCCAATAGTAAGGCAACTTTGTAATGATCCTCATATTTGTCCTCGAGAATGCATACAAAGTTTTTTTTTTGAAAATATTTTGAAGAGTGTAATTGTGTGAAACGTTTTTGTTTTGAAATGTTTGTGAGCAAGCGATTACGAGTGATCTACCTACTCAAAGTCTTTATTATTCTTTTTCTCCTCCTTTAGATAGTGTTATCCTACCATTAGTTAGTAGGAAGCCCTATCGTTTGAATTTGAAGGGACAGGCGCGGGTCATCATACAATCATATAAGGCAACTCGTAGGGGCGCTTTAGCAATTTCGTAAGGGACTAGATCATTTACCGAAGGTAACATCGAAAGGATCATCGAGGGACTACGATCTTTGTTTTTAAGGGACAGTGCTAAAGCGTCCCCACGCTCGAGGGACATGACTGTTTTCTGAAAGGCAACAGGGAGGTTACCCTAGAGGTGCGGGTGTGCAAAGTGTGTTATGATTCCAGTATTGTTTATCTTGCATTAGGGTTAGCTATCGATTTGTTGTTATCTTTCCATACAATCCTAATTACTAACAATAATCATAAAATAGTGTGAAAAGTAAAAGCAAAAAATAGCCTAGACTATTACAATGCTTCGGGGCAGATACAATAATAACAATGTTGGAAAGTAAACCTAATTACTATTACAAACCGTGAGCAGTTTCAATAATCAGAAAAAGTGCGAAAATAATAAACTACGCGAAAATGTAAGAATAAAAAAAAGGATATTTTGGTGATTTTTTTTTATTAGAAAAGATTTTGATGATTAACCTAAAAAAACCAATTAATGTTGATTAAGAAAAAGAATTTATTAATTAAAGTAAAACCTAAGAAAACCTAATTAATTTTGATTAAAAAAAAGAAACTAATTAATTTATTAAAAAAGTTGATTAGTTAATTAATGAAAAATGATTAGAAAAACCTAAAAAGTCTAAATTAATTTTAATTAATTAACTTAAAAAACAATTATGTTGTATAAAAAAAGAGTAATGGTTAAATAAAAAAAGATAGAAATTGGGCCTGTATTGAAGCAATTTGGTGGGGGGGGGGGGTGTGGAGACCAGCATCTCCAAGGCCCAACAAGCTTGGTTCGTTAGATCCAGTGTGGTGCAGCTCCAAGGGTATATCACGGGGAAGCATCTGAAGCGCTTGGTGTTGAGGATGATGAGTGTTGTACCCTAAAATTTGCCCTCCCATGTTTCTCAAGGTTGGTCAAGAATCACCTTCAAATAGGCTCAAGATTACTCAAGGGTTGCACAGTCCAAATG